GGGACTAAAACTGGAAAGAGCCAGAGGGGGTCCACTCCAGCTGCCAGGTCTCCTCCCCAAACGCCTTCATTATGAGGACTACCTCATTCTATTTCCAAGTTTTGTTCAGCTGCACCTGTGATGGGTCCCACCGGGTACCTGCAGGCACTGGGCTCAAGGCCTTTTCCAGCACCTCCTGCTCAGTTCTGGGAGGCCTCTGAAGGGCATCTGGCTGGGAGGTGTGCAGAGACCAGGGCCTGGCAATGACCTAGATTGGGGAGCTCTCCAGTGCCCCCAAACCACACTGTCCAACCCTGACTCTGTTTGTTTAAAACCAGCGTGAGCAGAAAAGAACCAGGCAGACTCCATTTTCTGCAGCGAGTGGGTGACTGGGGTTCCTCGCCCCTTCGTGTGAACTGCGGGGTCCTCCCTGCATCTCCCCTCCTCCCTAGGGACGGGGGCTCCTCAACTCAGCTGTGATGCAGCTTCGGCTGGGCCTGGGGGCCTGGGGTCACACATAGGGGTTGGGTACTGTTCCCATCCTCTAATCTTGTCTTACCGCACTGTGTGGGGCCGCAGGTGGGTCTTAGACCACTTTCCTGGTAGCCCGGGACCTGAGGCCCGGAATGGCCTCCATGGGGCGGCCCGGGGGCTGCTTCCTGCTCCCCTGCCCAGGCCCCCACCTGCCGCCTGGGGCAGAAAGCCAAAGCCCAGCGCTGACGGACTGGCCTCGGTCAGTCGCCCAGTCTATCCGGCCGTATCACGCGCCCCTGTGCCCACTTCCTGAGTTGGAAGGATAAATGCGGACCTTGGAGGGGCGGCTGGGAGGGGAGAGCCCTGGAGGCTCGCACAGAGGGAAGATGCCCGCTCCTGTCCCGTCCAGACTCAGCTGAGCCTCAGGCCGCTCTCCCTGGCAGCTGATGCGGGGTCCGGGCCCCCCGTCCACGGCCCTCTGCAGATGCAGTGGCTGCTGTTTCTGCCCCTCCCCTGCCTGGGGGGCTCTGTGCCCACGACCCCAGGTAAGTCCAGACCCCATTCAGTGCCCTAAGGCTCCCGGGACCCCATCCCTGCCCCCAGGGGCAGCCCTGGAGGCAGAGAGGGGAGGACTGTCCTTTTTTGAGAAGTTTGCCTGCTCCTGAGCTCCAGGATGGTCACTGTCGTCCCCGTATCTTGCCTCCCCAGGCCCCAGTCTGGGACATGAGTTGGTGGGCATCGTTGGGGGATGCGATGTCAGCCAGGAGGTACCCATGGCAGGTCAGCCTGAGGATCTACAATACAAGAGTTGGCTGGTGGCTGCACCAATGTGGGGGCTCCCTCATCCACCCGCAGTGGGTGCTGACTGCTGCCCACTGCATTCAGCCTTGAGTAGTGCCTGCCCCCATCCCTGTGGCCGGGTGCAAGGATGGCGGGGAGCAAAGGGGGCCAGGGAGGTGTGCTGTGGGCTCCCTCGGGGCTCCTCCTCAGCTCTGGGTGCCCCCAGCCTCCTCTGAGAAGCGCCCTGTCCCCTCTCCCCCAGGGTCAACTTGTTGCCTCATGATCTCAGGGTCCAAGTCGGGCAGATGAAACTCTATGACCATGACCAGCTGACAGAGGTGACTCTCATCACCCAACACCCCAAGTTTGTGTCTTCCCGGGGTGGCACAGACATCGCCTTGCTGAGACTGAAGGCCCCTGTGATGCTTTCCCATCACATCAACGTGGTCTCCCTCCCACTTGCCTCACTGAGGGTCCCCAAAGGGAAGATGTGCTGGGTGACATCGCATACAACTGTAGGTAGTAGGGAGACTTGGTGGGGAAGGATGGGAGGCTGGGGAGGTTGGATCTTTATGGAAAATGGTTTGGATCTTTTGCACCCCCAGGGCTGGGTGTAATGCTTGGGTTTTGAGCAGGAAGCTTCTGGAACAGACCCCAGGACGGGGGCAGGCAGCTCTGGGCTCTGGTTCACACCTCTGCTGTAGCTTTCCTGGACTGACCACCACAGCCTGAGCGTAGAAGGTGGGCATCACATCATGGCAGAGGAAGTCTGGGGTTGCTGAGTTTGGGTGGCCTGCCAAGGTCCCAGGGCTCCTCTGTTCCTGAAACAGAATTTGCACAGGGACCCTGTGAGTTCTGACCCAGTCTAAGAAGAACACTCTCTCATCGATCGTGCTGTCCCAGGCACGTGGAATCCAGGCTCTGGCCAATGGGGCCTTGTGTCCTGGAGATGGATGTGCATTTAGATGTTCAGAGGTCATGCGGTCAGATCCGGGCTGTAGAGGATGTGGGGAAGCTGAGTCAAGGGCCAGGGTTCCAGGTCAGGGTCAGGGCTCGCTGTGGGGCCCCCCTCTGCTGGTGCCCTCTGCTGACGGCCAGAGGAACCCTAGCTTGGAGCCGAATGAATACCTGTCCTCACCCTCCTCCCCACAGTGTCGCTGCCCTCACCCTACCACCTGCAGGAGGTAGAGGTGCCCATCGTGGGGCACAAGGTCGGTAACAAGCACTATCAGACCTTTGAAGATGGCAACAACCCAATCAGGGACGACATTCTGTGTGCTGGGAGCAAGGGCCGCGACTCCTGCCAGGTGAGAGCTCAGACTCACCCTTGCCTCTGGCCCCAACTGCCCCCGACCCATAGCCCGTGAGTGGGGGACCCGTCAGCCCCATTGCTGAGTGCCATCTCTTCCCACAGTATGACTCCAGGGGCCCCCTGGTGTGCAGCTGGAATTGCACCTGGGTCCAGGTAGGGGTCGTGAGTTGGGGCTACAAGTGTGGTCTTCACAACTTCCCTGGGGTGTACACCCAGGTGATGAGCTATGTGCCCTGGATCCGCCAGTATGTCCCTCTGTCCCCCGGGGCCTAGATGAGGCAGACCCTCACCCTTCCATCTCTCAGGGATAGGCCCCGAGAGGGGAGTACAGAGAGGGAGGGAAACCCCAGGAGTCAGAAGACTGCTTGTGATTTGATTGTCATTAAACGGCTTCAGAAGCTGCTTTGATGCTGTGCGTGTGCTTGGACCACGGTGTGGGCACCTCAGCCAAGCCCCCGGGGAGAGAGATGGGCCCACCTTTGGGGCAGGTGTCCTCTGCTCCTCTCCCTCTGACTGTCCACCTGCTTTCGTAGGCCCCCGTGGCTTCTGTCTCAGATTCCCATCCCTTCCTCCACCACCTTCCCCCACAGCAACAACTTTACTAGGAAAATGGGGTCCCCATTGGCACTTCCAGCTTTTCTGGCTGTTTGTTATGGAATGTGTCCTTGGACACTTGGTCTAAGGCATTCAGAGGTGCTTCCAAGTGACATTGGAGGAGAAAGTGGGGCCTTGGGTCTGCATGAGGGAGCCCTGGGATGTTGAGGGGCCCAATGGGAAGGCGGGAGCCCCAGTCCCTGTCTTGAACCTGTCCTGTTTCTAGCTGTACCCCAGCCCCACAACACAGCCTCCTGCCTCCACCTGGCCCAGCCCCTCAGGAACCACATGGAAGAACCAACTTTTGTGGAAAAGAATGTGGTCTCTGTCCCGAGTGGGGCCCTGGGCTACTCCCCCCGTGTGAGCCGGCGGCTGCGATGAAGACCAGGCCAGGGTCCTGCGGCTGCCCGGCATCCGACTGGCCTCTGAGCATGGATCCTGGGAGGTGGGGGTGTGGGTAGGGCAGCAGAAGGGGGTCTGGAAGCAAGAGACACAGGTCCCAGGTCTGTGCTCCTCAGGGCTTGGTGCTTGCAAAGAGGGGCCCCCACAGCCTCTCTGTCACTGTCATGATATGATCAGGCCCACAGAGTCTGAGAAGAGAGGAAGTTTCAGATCAGGCAGCAGTGCGCTGCTCTCCACCCTGCTGGGGGTAGGGGGCAATCAGGAATCTCAGCTTCCTTCCCCCAACCCCCAGGCTTCAATCCATCTCCTCTGCCTCACCAAGATGCCCATTTGGGAGACCCCTGGGTCAGAGCAGCTTCTGCTCAGTGTCAGCGCCCATGCCTCCCTCAGCCATCACCCCTCCCCAAGTGCCACAGATGCAGCCCCCTTCTCTTCCCACTGTCGGCACCTCCACACTTGGCCCTCTCCCACCCACCCTGCAGGCTCCCGGCAGATGGAGATGCCTCCAGGCTGCCTCTGCTTCTTCTCAGGTTCCTAGGGGTCTGGTTGCTTCTAGGAGGGGGAGGCCAGGAAAGGCCTCACCTCCCCTGTCCTGCTGAGGGAGGCTGGTCCCAGCATCAAGGAGTGTGTGATTCACTGTGAGAGTCCAGGACAGGAAACCAGAGACAGAAGCCAATCGGTGGCTGCCTGGGGCTGTCTGCCCAAGGTGATGGGGGGTGAGGTAATGGTAAGAGAGTCTGGGGTTTCTTTTCAGGGTGATAAGAATGCTGTAAAAGGGACCGTGGTGACAGTCTGTGGCCTAAAATCCACTGACTTGTATGCTTGAAATGGGTAAATTGTGTGGAATGTAAACTATATCTCAACAGAGCTCTTTAAAACCCCCTGAAAAATTAAACTAAAAAGAATTTAAAAGACCCCACGGCTCTCACTTCCATGATGAATTCACAGCTGCAGAACCAGGACAGGAGTCCCTGGAGGAGTCACAGAGATATCTGTGTCCACACCCCTGGCAGCCTTCCCTGTGCCAGGGACGGGGGTCTTCAAAGTTGCAGCCATCGGGTCTACATCGGACCACCCTGGACGTTAGTCTTCTGTGGAGCTCCAGGATCCAGCACCTCCTCAGCCCAAGTCTGGGGAACTCCTGCTTAGGGTCTGGGTGGTGTCCCTTGCCTGCCTCCCCAGCTTGGGTGTGGTCATGTGACCTAGCCCAGCCACAGAGGGGCCAGCTGTGCTGGGAGCCAGGATGCTGAGATCAACCATGCTGACACTGCAGGTGGCCACCGTGACAGTGTGGTGGGGACAGCTCCCTGTCCATAATCCCTGATGTATCAGGATTCAGTACTGAGCACCTGGGGTCATGATGACCGGGCTGTTCCATCCTTCGGGGTCTGGGGACCCCACCCCAAACCATAGCACCCCAGCCTCAGAGATCTCCACCTGATCCCCAGCACTGAGGTTGGGAAGCCTTCTCTCCCTGCTGGCTGGGGGCACCCAGGAAAGCCTCCTCTGGATCCCACACCACGGTTCTCTGGCCCCCATGCCCCGACTGTCAGGCCAGGCTCCCAGATCTCCCTAGGGACACGTGGGGAGTCAGTTGTCCTAGGACAACTGGTGGCCCAGAGGGGAGGAGTGGACGTGGGGCTAGAGCAGCCAGAGTGGCCTTTCTCACCCCTGGGCCCACTCTGACGGCTCCTCAGCCTCTCCTGACACACAGGGCCCAGAGCTCCACCCCCGGGGCCGCTCCTCTCTTTAAGACACTCCTCATCATTGACAACTTCCGGATTCACCCTGATGACAGGCTTGTCCACTTTGGCCACTGTGTTCTCAGCTCCCAGGTCTGGGCCAGGCCCATAGTAGGTCCTGATCACTATGATGGACTGACCACTGCATAGAGGAAGTCCCTCTCTCAAGGCCACACCTCCAGGAGGATCATACCCCTCCCACCTCCTGGGCTGGGGCTGGGTAACGGGCTCAGAGACCCTAGGAGCAGAGGCAGAGACAGGACCCTGCTCAGACCCCATCCCACTCCAGTCCCAGTCCCAGCTCTCCTCACCCCTGCCCTCCCCTCTCCCCTTGTAAATGCTCTGGCTCCTTGGGAGCTCTGTGGCCAAATACTGACCCCATGCAAGGACCCTGTTGTCCTATGACCCATCTATGACCTCAGGCTGCTTTGACCTGGGGGTGGGGGGACAGGCTTGTGACCCTCAACATGAGGATGGCTGGGGAGAGGCTGTGCTGAGCTCTGGTCAGGGGCTCAGTGGACCCTGATAGCTCCTCACTCTGATTCCCCAGATCCCGGCCCAGGGACTGTGCCGGGGAGCATCATGGGGGGGGATGTGACACTCCGCTGGGAAGTGGCCACTGTGGGTCAGCTTGAGGGTCTTCAATAAAGACAACGACTAGCAGCAGTAGGAATATGGGGGCTCCCTCTCCACCCACTGTCGGTGCTGACCACTGACCACTGCTAGACTGAGCAATTCACCTGGCTGCCTTCTTGGACAGTGCCAGGGCCAGGGCAGGAGACCCGGGGTCCAGTCTGCACCAAAGGAGGCAGGGGAAGGGCCCTGGCTCTGAGCCGCTGGAAGCATTCCTGCTGCTTGGGGACCCGTCCTCACCCTCTCAACCTCCTTGAGAAGCTACTGGTTCTCTCTCCCTGGGACATGGTGGGGCTGCAGAAATACAGTGTTCAACCTGGACATGTGAAGCTCTGGAGATAATCTCAACCACAAGTTCACCCAGAGCCTGTCTGCCATGGGGGATGCAGAACTTGCCCTGCTGAGACCGGAGGTCCCTGTGACAATTTCTGAGCATGTCAGCCCATCACTCTGGCTACGGATCCACTGATGCTCATCTCAGGAGTGAAGGGCTGGGGGACTGCTGGGGCACCTGTGGGACACAGGAAGTTCAGGGGACCTGGAGGTTACACAAGTGAGAGGACACAGGTGGGGCAAGTACAGGCCACTTAGCCTCAGCTGGTGGAGGGGGATAAGCCTGGGTCACAGATGGGCCGGCAAGACCACTGGCCCCAGCCTACCCCAGGGAGGCATCTTAAGAAGTTCTTATCTAAATCTTGACAACATCCCTGGTGGTGGTGAGTCACTTTCTTGTCCCCACCATCCAGGACAGTCTGGACTATTGTCTGCTGCTGATGGGGCCACATCAATTCAAACGAATTAAGATTGACTTAAGTGGAAAATTCACTTCCCCAATCCCACAAGCTATACACACTAGACAGCTTGCTGGGCTGGCCCATGACCCTCAGGCCGTGCTCATGTGTCTCTCCACCAGTGGCTTCTCCCTGGCAGCAGCAGCCCTAGTGGACAGTGAGGATCTAGAACATTCTCACCCTCACAGAAAGCCCTGTTGGCCAGCACTGGCTGATTCCAGTTAAATCCAGTGGTTTCTCACTGCCCAAGTTTAGGATCATTTGTTCAGTCAAGGGAAGAGTGGGGAGTGGGGGAGGAGAAGGGAGAGGAGGAGGAGGAGGGAGACCTAGAGAGACGGGCCTTCTGGACTTGGGCCACATGTTGGCATGGTCAGCCGTCACTGGTCTCAGGGGGAAGGGAAGCCTTCATCCTGCATATGCTTCCTGCTGCCCACCTCCTGTGGCCATAAGATAAAGAGGCTCAGGAGGTCCCTGGAGTAGAGAGCTGGGGTTCCTGGCCTAGTAAGGGTACCATCCCCTCCCAGACACTATGGGGCTCCCAGCCATTCCCTCGCTGAGCCCAGGGCCAAGTCCCAGCTCCCCCTCTATGCCCCTCCCCTGCAGATACTGCTGCTGCTGTCTCAAACCTTGTTCTTCTTGGGGAGCTCCATCACTGGGACCCCAGGAGATTCCTGACTCCATGTGACTCTTTCCTTTCCCCAGAGGCTCCTGACAGCTCTCTCTAGGATCCTTCCCAGGTTGAGGGGAGCTGCCCACCTGTGCACAGCCAGCTCCTTTTGCAGCTCTGGGAAGGCCCAGTGTGGGGGGCAGGGCTGGTGGGCATGAGTAGGAGCCACAGTGCCCCCCAGTGGAAGTGGCCATAGCAGGTAAGCCTGAAAGAATATAGTTATCAATAGGGCTCTTGGGTGCTCATCTGCAGGGGCTCCTGCATCCACCTTGGACCCTTTAGCCCCAGGATCAGCCCCACTCACTGGTGGGCTGATATAAGCTTCAAGACATCCCAGATCCTGCAGTCAGCTGTGTCAGGAACTGGCTCCACCCATCAGTGGTCTGACACCAGCTCTGGGACCCCTGGGCCCTGCAGCCAGACCCTAGGACATAGCTCTGCCCA